CTTCTTCCCATTTGCTCAGCGATGGCATCTGCTGCTGTGAACAACAGGCACGGCCGTGGTCTCGCCAGTATGGACAGCTGACCGCAGCCCAGGTCTGGGCTTCTGCACATGTTCAAAAGCGCTTGTGGAGACATGAGCAGCAGACCTCAATGAGTTGGATCACAAAGGAGGTACCTGGTTAAAGGGGTATGGGCCTGAACCCTCCTTTCTTCCTCTTAACTGCCTGCTGCTCACAGTGGAATTTCCCCAGTGAACTCCTGTGCATACTGATTCTCATGACAGAATCTCTTTTGAAAAAGGAATCTGATTTCCCAGTTCAGCATTTCTAGCTCAACAGTTTTCGTTCTGAATATCGAAGGTTTGGGACACTTTGCAGAACTGTCTAGCATCCTTCAGCCCCAATCCAGAACCGGTTACCCCCTAAAAGAGTGATGAATTACATACAGGTATATACAGTTTTTTTAAAAAAAAAACAAACTGAACAGTGTTAGGTCTGGAATGTGTTTAAGGAAAAGGCAAACTTTGCAGAGTGTGAGTAGACCAAGTGGAAATAGTATTGGTTAGTAACATGCAAAGGTTTCGTGCATTGGTGGAATTAGAGGACCATCATTTCATTGGCCAAGATAGGATTTTGCAAACCTGTGAAAGAATACACCTGATTTCTGTTTATGGACACTGGAGGAGCTGCCCTATGCCCGCCCTTGCCTTCTGCTCACACATCAAAAGGACACCCCATGGTGGATTTGTCAGGCAAAGTAGGGCATGGTGCTGGCTAAAGCTGAAGGGCAAGAGCCAAGTCCTCCTGCCTTCTGCCTTGGAAAACAATGGTTCCAGTGTGGCTTTACCAAATGTGAAGAAGCAATACTGGCCAAGACTCTGGGTGGACAAAGGTAGATGATGCCCAAAGCCATCTAATACTACTAAACTACCCCACTGGGGTGTGGGCTTTGTTTAAAGTTGCTAAGAAACATCCAAGCCCAGATTAGACTGTCATTCATGAGAAAGAAGGTCAGGCCCCTTCAGGAAGGAATCACCTAGCTCCCTTTCCTGGTCTGTAGCGTCCTTAGCTTTTGTTCTAAGTCCACACCTGGAGTTCTCTCTCTGACACCCACAATCCATCCAGGACACCAAGGTAGGCAAATAAACTAAGACGGGTTAATGCTAAGTAGGTAAACTGAGTCAGGGGTACAATATGCAAAAAGTGTCCTTAACAACGGCTAGTGTTTTCTAAAGGCCAAGCTTTGCGTATTTAAACAAGGACATCTTCTTTTGCCCTAAACTGGACTGTGGAGTTTCCTGCACACGAAGCTATGAAATGGACTTGGAACCTTCTCAAAAACTTTCCTAAGCTAGGTTAAAACTATGCCCAGTCCTAGTGGTAAGACTATAGACATTAACCATAACTCTCCCTAGGTCAAGAACATTAAGCCATGCTTTTTCCTCCATCTCCCGTTTTGTATTATTTCTGCCTAATTATTTTCTTTTAAAAGGATATTGTACTTTCTGTTCTTTTATGGAGCAGAGAAGTCATTAACAACCATACAGTGACCATCTATCCAGCTGGGCAGAATTTTTAAGGAATTTTCTTCACTATATGCACACCCCTGGGTGGTGTAAAAGGTTAATGTGCTTGGCTACCAACTGAAAGGTTGGAGGTTTGAGTTTCAAAAGGCCTGATTTAAATCCAAACATCAGCCACTGAAAACTCACAGAGCACAACAGTACTGACACACGTGGATTTACTCTGCCTCAGAATTGACTTGACATCAACTTCTTTGGTTGTTCATGTCACTAGACATGCTCTTTCCCTTTCAATTCCAGCTGTCCTTGCTTCACCCCAATCTGATGCTCTAGACCTCCATGTGCTCTGTTCAAGAAATAGGAGCGATAGTGGCCAAGACAGACCTGGCAGTGTCTTGGCTAAGGCAGCAGCAATATTTCCAAAGGCCACAGGGACCAGAGTGGGGCATGGACTCACTGTTTCAGAAAAACCTTAGCTTCACTTATCACCTTATTTATGAGTGGAAAATCAGGGAACCAAACAGGAGAGGCAGCTGAGAGAAATACCTTCCAGGGCACAATTTCAGAATTTAATATTTCAAATGAAAAAAAAATGTCCTTTGCTTTGAAAAAGTGTAGAGACCCAATGTAAGGCTTGGGGTTAGGACACAAGTGTGTGATAGGTCCACCCTGAGCCTAGCCAACATGCTGCCTTTAAGGGCCGGTCTAGCCTGGTTGCATATATTAAATGCTCTGCTTCTATCTGCAGAATTTGACACCAGTAAGGACCTGTGCCATTCTCTTTGCATGTTTTAATAGAAAGTCCATTCTGGGGTTTCCTCCCATTTTGTAGTAAGACATCTCAAGTACAGAACTTTTTTATCCTTTGACTACTTAAGGCTCCCTCAAGAGCAAAAATGCTTCTGTGTAGTTTTCATTTTCTCCTCTTCCTAAAACAATAGGAAATAACCTAAAAGCCTGCCCGGGCAGGCTCTCCTATCTGGCATGAAGCCACTCCACCTCCTGGCACTGTGATACTGAGATCAGATGCGTGATAGCTGAGCCAGCACACAACCAAGGACTGACTCCAAACAGCAGGGAGGACACTTACCACAGGGTGTGTCGTTCAGCAGCTCTACATAGTTCAACTAAGACATCCTTTCAAAGGGCACCTATTAGCTCCAGAAGACATTTTTATCACCACTAAGAGCACTGGGCTACAAATCTTGCTTTTAAAATGCAAACGACTGTATACAGCACACAGCACTGAGAGCTGATGGCTGCTTAAGCAGACCAAATGCTGGGAAGTTATCAGTTTTATCCTTTTACCCTATGTGTTTGAATGTTTCCACTGTACCTCCTAGTAAAGGAGATCTTAATATACCTCATAAAGAGATATTTCAAGTACTAAAATGTTTTCTCCAAAGGTTGATTACAATATCTATGTTATTGTCCTTCTGAAGCTGGGGAGGGGTTGGTGCATATTCATTTGGTGATTCTTGCCTATAACTGAGTCTGTTACTTTTCCAGGCTTTGTAACAGATTTTAAAGCATGTTCATTTGTCTTGTCCCGCTGTATTGCGTGTGACAATTTCCAAGTCATATTGCTGCTGTGTGCTTTTAACAGACGTGGGGTTAGTGGTTGACCAGACTACACTCTTAAACACATTCTAGTGGCTGACCCTGGCCACACTCTGTGTGTGTAAGCTTACTGGAACATTTTTGGCTTGGGCATATGCAAAAGTGTGGAAATGAAAGAGTTGGCGTGATCCACAAAATCTGCTGAGTCTGTTTACCTGTAGAAGGGTACAGGGACAAGAGCTAGGGAGTGGGCTCCAGGATCATGGCTGCAGCATGCTATTATTGGTGGTGAGCTCTTGAGGCCCTTGGCAGGCTCAAGGCTAACTGTGGCCTCCATAATTAGCCTGGATGAGTCCTGGGAGGGTGCAGGAGTCCAGGTAGAGCTTTGCAAAACTGACACCTGAGTCACCAGCTTGGCATAGCAATAGCTCTTCCTTAAAGACTGGTTTTTATCCCCTATGTTTCACACTGTACTTGCTCTAGCCACATACTATCCATGACCTGGTCTGATTATCCTGGTTTTAGCAGTAGAAATCTCATGTCCCATAAATATGGGGTGGTTGGAGACTCTACTACCTCAGGTCTTTGGTTTTTGGACGCCCCTGCTCATAAAGCCAGCTCCAAGTCCAACTAGGTCTGGGTAAGGTGCTCTCTGGCCACCTCTGAGATGGCCAGTGCCCTCCTTGCTTGGCTAGTTACCTTAGCTTAGCACCTCAGACAATGGCTATGGATTCTCTTCCAAAGCCATTTACCTACCTTCCCTCAGATAGCATTCACGTTAAGAACAGGGTAAACATTTAGAGGTGGAAAAATATGTGAGTTGGAGATTATTTGAAGTGTTGGGTTAGAAGTACATTTTGAGAGAGTGAGAAAGAGGAAAGAGATAGATTGATTCATTTTAAGACTGCATAGCCCAAGAGCAGAACACTTCTCTGTGTTATTCCTTGTGAGGAATGAGCCCTTGCACGAGATGTTCCGTTTAAACCAAATGGCCAATAGTTCCTTTTGTAAAGGTGGTTGGGGAGTCAGGACTTTGTGCAAGAATAGCCTGCAAAGTTTAGTCTCCATTCTGGGAAGAGCAAATTTTTTTTTTTTTTACTACTGATGACTTGCCGCCAAAAGGGTCTTTGTGTGGTAGGAGTGTTTTGGATGAACTACTTGGAAGGGTTTTCTACAGGTTCAGAAGTCCTGGAAGAAACAGCCCTGCAAAACTGCAGCGTGGTGGTCTAAGTGGGCTGCCCCTTCCAAGAAAGAGGAGGAGGAGAGAATGACCGGGAGGAAAGTGCACACGAACTCAGATGTGTGACCCTCTTATGAGTATTTTTAAAAATACTTTAAAATCTCCTTTAGAGAAAAAAAAAGAGAGAAATACTTTAAAGGGTTAACATAAACTTCTACTTATCGAAGAACAAAAGATAGAGGTTATGTAACTAGGAAGGACATACGTCTTAAGAGGGGGAAAAATCCTAATGCACAATATTTACTAGTATTTAAATAATCCAGTTTTCATTTTTTGTCATTAATGAAAAAATACAACATAGATGGTTACCTACACTGAGAAGAGTGGATATGACAGGGAGTTGGGGTGAGGAGTAAGAAGGTCCGTTCAGTTAGAGCTTTGCAAGATTCATATATACAGCACCAGATCCTATTAAATCAGCTCCCCTTGAGTCAGTACAGTTTGTCAGAAATGAACACTTCAGAATTGCAGTATAAAATATGGCCATAAAAAAAATCTTCTGTCTTCCAGTCCTGTGCAGGAAGGTGCACCATGCAAGGTGAGATCACTCTGGAGGGGACCTAGGCACAGGAGGCCCTGGAGACACCCTTTCCTCAGCCCCTCCTGAGGCTCCTCCCCAGGCCCCGCCCCCGGCGGCCCACCAGAGGCTCCGCCCCCTGAGCCCCGCCTCCAGAGCCAGTCACTTGCTGCCAGTATGCACTGTAGTCACAGTGGTGGGCCTTGGTCTCCGCTCAGCTCCAACTCCTGAGACCCCAGACGAGGAGGAAATGAAACTACAGAGGGTGGAGGATGCCAGGCCTGGAAAGGAACAATGAACATAAAGAGGTTAAATCTTCACAAGTGCCTTTATAGATAGAGAAAATGCCCAGTCATTCCCTGTCCCACTGAAGGGGGCCAAGCTTTATACACTAAATTTTTATGTACTCTTAAGGGTTGAACTGTGGCCTCCTTAAAATTACATAGAAGTCCTAATCATCTCTCTCATTGCCACTGAGTTGGAAAGGAGTCATAGCTGACCCTCCAACTGGTTTCTAAGGCTCCAAATTGCACTGGAGAAGTTTGTCCATCTTTCTCCCATAAAGTTCATGATCAATTCTGATTTCCAGCTGGTGTAGCCCTTCGTTTAGCAGCACAACACTGTAAGGACTTATTGCCACCAGAGCTCCCTAAAGCCCTAACCCATTTAACAGAAAATATGACTCTACGTGGAAACGGGATATTCTTTTGTTATGTTAACAAGGACATACAAGAGTAGGATGGGACCTAAATTGAATCTCTGCTGAAGGATGTCTTACAAAAAGGGTAGAATTATGGTAACAATACTCATTTCCATGTCTCAACTTCATCCAAGCAATGGATGGTCCTACAGGGTAACCAGTAAAAACCCTGCTAGGAGTCAAATGGAAAGGAATGTGATGCTCAGAGTAAGCTCTTATGTAGTGGGTTAAACAGTGTTCTCCAAGACTCCATGTCCACCTGGAACCCAAGAATGTGACCTTATTTAGAAATAGGTCTTTATAATTGTAATTAAGCTAACAAAAAAAAACCCAAGTCCACTGCCGTTAAGTTTATTCTGGGCATCCTTCTATCAGGTTTCTGAGCCTATAAATATATATGAAAGGAGGTAACCCATCTCCTTCCTGCAGAGCAGCTGGTAAATTTGAACCACTGAACAGTCGAACACACAACATACTATGCCACTAATGCTTCTTCAGTTAAAGCAAGGTTATACTGGATTTGAGTTAGGACCCAGATCCAGTAAGAAGGGAAAATTTGGACCTACAGGCACATAGGGGAGAACACCACATGATAATAGAAGCATTTTCGCATCACTGGAATGATGGGTTTACAGGACAAGGAGTGCCAAGGATGATCAGTAACACCATGCTCTGGAAAGAGGCAAGGAAGGATTCTTTCTCAAACCCTGAGAGGGAGCATGGTCCTGCCAACACCTCGACTTCAGATTCTAGTCTCCAAACCTGGGAGAAAATAAATTTCTCTTGTTTTAAGACCACACAACTTGTGACAGTTTGTTATAGAAGCTCTGGGAAATGGATACTCAGCTCAGTGTAAGAGAAGGGATGACTGGTGGGCAAGGATCAATGCAACAGATCTAAAACAAAGAGGACTTTTCTTCCTGTTAATATCTACAGCCTTGGAACCTGGACAGAAGGTTGTTGTGACTTAGAATTGAATTGATGGCTTTTTATTTTTAATACTAATTTTACTTTCAATTTTAATATCAGTCTACATAGAGACATCAAGAGAGAAAAGAAGAAGGAACTATGAAGACTATAATGTGCCTTCAAAGCAAAGATGAAGAATAATAAAAACAAAAATCCTGCAGCCATCAAGTCAATTCGCATAGCAACTCACAGGGCAAATTAGGACTGCCTCACAGGGTTCCAAGGATTTCAGTCTTACAGAAGCAGGCTACCATATCTTCTTCTGTAGAGCAGTTGGCAGGTTCAGACTGTTGACCTAAGGGGTCACTTAACCGACTGCACCACTGTAACTACCTTAAGGTGAAAGATAATGACTTGTTTGTTCCCCTGATTTATTGCAAAGCCAACACATTTCATGGAAACTACCTCAAATTATCATATCATCATCCTTATGAAGTAAAAAGTGCTAGAAGTCTGTAAGATCAAGCTGTCCTCAATTCCTACAAATGTCTCACCCTCTAAGAATGACTCAATAAGAGGTCAATCAAGGGAGAGGAAGGTATATTAGAAAGCACTTGGGCTGTATCTAAGCAAAAATGACTGTACAATTTGAGCTACAGTTGTCTCATCTGTAAATGGAAATAACTGTGTCCAAGGTTGCTATACTATATGGGATAAAGAACTCTTAAGTATACAGTCAATGATTGCTTCCCCCTCCCACCTGCGTCCTCCTCCTCCCGCCAACCAACACCAGACCACCTCGGAATGTTTTGTCTTTATGTTACATACGCACAATCTTTTTGACTGGCCAAACTGAGGCTGCTGGAAACACTTGCATTTGAACTGTCCAGGCTGCTGCCAAGATGTAGCTTTCTCATATGCCTCACGACGGCTGTGGCGTTAAATGCTTGCTGAAATGTAAGAAACAAACACACAAAAAAAGCAGACAAAACATTCAGGCGAATTTAATTAGAAAAGTCTCAGACCGTGTCTAATTTCCCACCCCCAAACCCTGAGCAATTTAAAGTTCTTAAACAGTCTTATGATACTCTTATCAGGGAAACATTGATCCTTCTTCCAAAAATATACTAGGTTATTTGATACCACCCATTAATATTTTGTTGTTGTTATGTGTTGTTGAGTTGCCTGCAACTCATAACGACCCTATGTACGTACAATAGCTCTGAACTCTGCCTTGTCCTGAGTCAGTCTCACTGACTCCAATACACCAACCCCCATTGCTCCAGTTACTGTATCAATCCATCTCATCCAGGGTCTTCTTCTCCTTTGCTGTCCCTCCACCCTCCTAAGCATGATGTCCTTCTCTAAGGACCAATCCTTCCTGGCCACATGCCCAAAGTATGTGAGATATGTCTACAAATTGCTATCCTCCAAGGAGAAACTTGGTTTCACCTTCTCCAAGACAGACTTTATTTGCTTTCTTTGTGGTCCATGATATGTTCAAGACTCTTCTTCAGCACTACAACTCAAAGGCACCATTCTTCTTCTGTCATCCTTAGTCATTGTCCAGCTCTCTGATGCATAGCAAGTAATTAATTGCAAAGACCTTAGGCACACCTTAGTCTCTAGACTGACATTTTTGCTTCTGAGTACTCTGGAGAGGTCAGCAGATCTACCTAATGCAATTTGTCTTTTGATTTCCTAACTGCTGGTACCAAGAGTGTTGAGAGTGGAGCTGAGTAAGCTGTAATTGTTAACAACCTCAATCTCTTCTCCACCTATCGATAAATATTTTGATAATAAAAATGTTTTTCTGATAGAATATAGATGTAAATTAACCCTCTCCAGGAGTTAAGATAAATGATTACAATAAAAACATATACTAGCTTAAGGCATGCTTATTTTGAAATAGTCTTTATATTATTGGTACTTCTAAGCAATAAAAATTATTCTGAATAAACTGTGGCTCTTGTTACTGCAAGATTCCAGCTTTTGTTTTTAGGTGCCACTGAGTCGACCACTACTCATAGTGACAACCGAACCAAATCTTGCTCAGTCCTTACAATCTCCACCATGCTGAAGCCCATTCCAACTTGTAGTGACCTTATATGGCAGAGTAGCACTGCCCTAGAGATTCCCCAGGAGCCTGCTGGCATAGTGCATAATAGATCACATCGCTTCACTTGAAGGCTGCTCACCTCTGGTGGTGTTCAAATGCACAAGTGGCTCTGAGGGAGAAAGATAGAGAGCCTTTCCCCATTAGGATTTACAGCCTCAAAACCTGACGAAGGGACACTGGAAGTTGGAAATGACTTGTTGGCAGTGAGACAAGACAAGTTCTATGAAGTGGACAGCCATATTGTTCTCCCACAGAGCATCTAGGGTGGTTTGAACTGCAAACAGCTCGGTTAGCAGAGTGCTTAACCATGACCCCTCACGGCTCTTTCTCAAATAAACTAGGTCAGTGAAATTAATTTTGTTTCTATATTGACTCTAAATGTAGGAACTTGTAAACAGTCCTCTCTTAATTATCCACATCGATCAGAACACAGGATAAGGTTTTATGACTAATTGTGGGCCATAAAACCTCAGTGGTTTAAATCAACACTCTTTTTTTTCCTCCAGAAAAGACCTGTGGGCACTACTAAGATTTTCTGTTATTTTCCCTCAAAGACCCTGATTCAGGTTGACCCCCCTGTATCGGAGCAGAACTGTGCTCTGTAGAGTTTTCAGTGCCCAATTTTTCAGAAGAAGATTGCCAGCCCTTTCTTCTGAGGTACCTCTCGGTGGCTCTGAACCTCCAGCTTTTTGGTTAACAGCTAAATGTACTAAATATTTGTACCATCCAGGCAATCCCTTCCTTGTTACTGCTGCTTATTCAAAGTTCTTGCAAATTGAAAAATATATGGAACATTATACTTTTTAAGAAACAGAAAGCAAGAACTGTCACTACTGCTGCTTTTAAACCACAGAGGGGAAATGCTAAGTCATGTACTATATCCCTTTCACACCATCATCATAATCCATCCAAGTCTTTATTGGCTAGCAACTTGCAAAATTATTCTGGTGATGTTCTATAGTATTTAGTCCAAACTTACTTGATAAAAATAAAACAATAAGAAACAAGCAAAACCACCACTATCAATTTAGACTCATCACACCCCAACAGTGACCCTGCAGGAGTAGACCTGCCCCATTGGGGTTCCAAGGCAATGATCTTTATGGAATCAGACTGCCTCATCCTTTTCCCTTGGGTAATGGATATGCTCGAAATGACAATTTCTTAGTTAGCAGCAATATACTTGGTCACTACACCACCAGGGCTTCCATTCAAGTGAGAGTCATCTTTACAAATAAGAAAAGTTCAAATTCTAGAACAAGTTTCTTGGGAGTGGTTCTATTCAGTGGGAATTTAATGACCACAGACTTACTCTCCATTTGCTTTTTGCAAAGTTCTTCCGGATCTGGGCACTGACGGACTCGTGGATGTTTTTGCTGAGAGCCGTGTCACCAGCGATCCTGAAACACAAACAGAGATGTCCCTTCAGAAGTGTTTCTCTGGGGCTCCAACACTGGCTCCTTGGCTGTGTTTTCGTCCCCTTCGTCAGGCCACTGCCCCTTCCTATAGCTCTTCTCCAACCCCACACCACCTACTGCCATCATGATGGCTTAATTCAGTAATATTTTCACCAAAATCCCTACTGCCTTCTGTCCCCTCCCCAGCATCCACCAACATCTTCCTGGTTGTCATCAGCACATGGTCCCCATTTTCTTTTTCTTTTCCAAATTCTGCAGCATCAGAATCCCCAGTGCTGGCAAAACTTGAGTTCACAGTTTTCCATGTCTATCTCCTTCCTTCTACACTAACTCTCCTACAACATCAGCTTTCTCACAGTCACTTGTCATTTCTGTGCATTTCTCACCTGGCATTATGACTAGATCCTACGCTGCTTTCCAGCTCTGTCAAGCCCCAGGCCCCTGCTCTCAACCCTCACAAAACCTCCACTTCATGGACCCTGCTCACAGCCTGGGGCAAACAGCTTCCCTTGGTTCCCTCTCCAGCTGAAGTGAGCTCTACAATATTCTAACACAAGGCCATGACCCGGTGCCCTTTCTCCTTCTCTTGAGCTTTGAAATGGGATCCTCAGCCTTAATTCAGCCATGCTTGGTGTATTTTCTGCTCCTGTGTTTCCTAGAAAACTTCCTGGCACCGCAAAGACTAGATCCAGTCTACTCTTGGCTGCACCCTTGATACCAAGGAGCAATCTCATTTTTGTTGTTGCTGTTGCTGTTCAGTGTCATTAAGTCAACAATGACTCATAGCCATCCTATGAAAAACACACTGAAACTTGCCATCCTTATTACCTCTGCTACTTTCAAGTCCATTATTGGAGTCATACATCCCATGAGGGTCTTCCTCTCTTTCGGACACACTACTTTTATCAGAATGTTCTCTTTGTCCAAGGACAAACATGACAACATGTCCTCATGACAACATGCCCAAAGAATGTAAGGTGAAGTTTCATCATCCTTGCCTCCAATGAGCACCCTGGTTACGTTTCTTTTAGGAAAGATTTGCTTGCTCTTTTGGCAGTCCATGGGATATTCAATACTCTTCACCAGCACCAGATTTCTAAGGCATCAGTTCTAATTCAGTCTTCCTTAGTAATTGTCCAATGTTCACATACAATATAGTCTTGGCTTGGGTCAGGTGCACCTTAGGCTTTAAAATGACATCCTTGACATCGGGGTTGGGGGGAGACTGCGAAAGATGGGTTCAAAAATGTATACTGCATTGAAACAAATGAGGGAGAAAACGGTTTAAAAGGGATATGTGATGGGTATTTTTGTCATGACGGGAGTCCAGAGTGAAGGCTGAATAGTGGAGTGGACCTGGGGGGAGGGATTGTAAAACAATGAAAGAATTTGTCTTTTACTTTTCCAAGAGGGGAGTGTACTGGGGGGTGCAGGGTTGAGAGAGGAGAAAAGTGCAACAATGAATGAATGGAAATCCAAAGTCTCACTAAATTTTCATTGAAATTAATATTAAAAAATTTTTTAAAAATGACATCCTTGCTCTTCAGCACCTTAAAGATGTCCTCAAAAGCAGATTCATTGAATTTTTGCTTATTCTTTTTTATTATCAGAGAAGTTAGGCTTGCTCTTACATTCCTTTCTCTGGAATTCTATTTCTTCCTTTTGCTTTTCCATTCCCTCATTCTTTCTTTCTGTCTCCCATTTCTTCTTCCTCTGTCTTAATTTACCATCTCCATTTCTACTAATTACAAGGAGGTCAAATCACAGCTCATTTTTCGCTCACTTAAACCACATCTTCCCTCTCTGCTCAACCACTTGGCCTGCCTTCCCTCTAATTTTGGCTTCTTCTGGGCTTTGACCCTCTCATCTCCTCTTTCTTTCACCCTAACTGTTAAATTCTAGGTTTATGTGGATGTCTGAGAAATAGTTTATTGAATCTGGCAAAAGTTAAGGGGCAGAAGCCAGGGCTTTGCCACATCCTCCCTGGCTGAAGGGTGACCAGTACATGGGGAAAACCTTTCATGTCCCAGACCTATACTGCTTTGGCCCAGAACAGCCTAGATGCCACAGACATTGCTTCCAACGCCTCTGGGAAGTAAAAGGAAATGCTTAAAGCTTAGTCAGAGAGGAAATTATTCCCTGAATAAAGAATATTTTCTTGCCCACCCAGTCATTCACCTTAGAACTGGAGACACAGTTTGACAGGCTGGACATTTACTTTGTGCCATGTTGCACCTAAGCTTAGAATACAGTGTGAGAACTCCAGCAATGCCTCAAACCCAACCATACTCCTTCTTCTCCTCAGTAAGACTGGCAATATATTTCAGGATGACATCAAGAAATTAACTGTAGAAAATCAGATTTCTATTTCTAAGAACCGTCAATTGTCTCCTTTTCTCAGCTAAACATCAATTAGATAGAAATAGCATAGTGGAGTGGGCAAATGAGTCCTCATAAGAGTAGTCAAGAGGTTCCTGGGGAACTGGAGAAACCTTGATTAAGCTTTTTCTCCTCAAGAGCTTGCATGCTTGCTGCCACTTACCCTCTTTAAAAGCTATCTCAGGAAAGAAGGCCAATTCAAACTTGTCAGTAGCCCAGCTCTTGGAAACAATGGAGCACAAGTGATGCGAAGAATGGAATTCCCTGAGCCGAGTCCCACACTCCAAAGCAAACAGATCTGGGAGGCAGAGCTTCGTGTCCCACCTGCCCCATCAGCAGTGTCTTGAGGCACTTTGAGTCTTCAAAGTGTCCTGTTTCCTGTACTTTGCTTTCCAAACCTTCTTTGTAGGTCCACATGAGCTGAGATGTGAGAATTATTTTAGGAATGTCCAAAGGTTTTAGGAATTCTTCATGCTCACTTCCCACATTCCACTGTGGCTAGGGAAGAATTAAGCCAGCCTGAAGGTAGTTCAGAAGGTAGCCTGAAATCTCCCGCCAGACACTCTTATTTGGGGTCATAACAACACAGCATCATCTTCCTCAAATGTTGCTGTTCTGTGCCATCGAGTCAGAATTGACTTCTTCTAGGTTTGTAAGTTGGAACTCTGGGAATGGCCTCAGCTCCCTTTGTGCCTCCCCATATCTACCAGCCAGCATTCTTTCCGAGATCTGTGTCTTCTTCACTCCTGAATGTTTCTTGGAGCCCTCTCCATCCCTTTCTGACCTGGTAGTGTTGCCTCTGGGCAGAATTCCATCATTGTTCCTGGGGACAGTTCATTCTCAACCTTTCATCTCTCCCTTCCTTCCACTCTCCCACACCCCACCTCCCACAATTCAACCTCAATCCTGCATCTAGACTGAACTTTCAAAAATGCAAACTGATCACCTGCTAACACGTGGGAACTACGTCTTCCAAACAGGAAGCAGAAAGGCAGCTGGTGGCCTGGAATCACATGCCTTTGGGATTATAGCACAGCTTCTTGCCACTAGGCCACCAAGGCTCTCTTTAAAGTCTTTAGTACAGCACAATAAAATAATAGCAACTATTTTGTTCTTGAAAATTCTTCCACAATGGATTCTTTTCTTCTTTACATGTTACTGTTTAATCCCTTCAAACAACCTCTAGGACACTGTATTATCATTTATTATTTTAGCTCTACAGTTCAGGCCCAAAGAATGATGTCACTCAATTTGGATTGTGTCTATATTAGAACTCACACCAGAACTTTGCTACTTCCAGCCTTCCTTTCCTGCCTCATCTCCAGCCCCTCTTCCTTGTACACTCCTAACTCCAGAAATGCCAAATGTCTGTGACACTGTGAGAAGGTGTGAAGTGTTACTGTCCCACGCTATGGCCTGGGCAGTTGGTCCTGTGTGGAAGTCCCTCTGAATCCTGGCTCATGTGGGCTGGAGCCTTCTGCTCTTGTATGACTCAGCCTGGACATCCACACCTCTGGGACGTCTTTCTATTAAACAGACTCTGTTCCACTCATTAATGCCCCCTGCCCCCCAAGCTGATCTCTTCCGTCTTTGGTTTCTTAGAAACATTTGGTCACGAAGAGACTAGGTTTTCACTGGCCTTCTTCCTGGCTTCCAGAAAGCTAGACTGGATTAGTGAACTGGCACTGGGAGATAAGTCACTTCTCTTCCTTTGAGCTCATTTTCCTCTAGAGGATGATTTTAACAGTATTTTACAGTGTTAAAGTCTAGAAAGGAAAATAATGTCTACTATCTTCATTGTTCAACATGACATTAAAAAGTGCCAAGAGTGTGTAGCACAACATAGTGAATGTCATTAATGTCACTTACTTGTAAACTTAAAAAAAATGTGTGCAAGCTTTTCTGTGATACACACCTTCCCCCTCTTCCCCATCCATATTCAAACTTATTGCTGTGGAGTCAGAACTGACTCAAAGCTTATCATCCAGCAACTTTCCAAGGCTGTGAATCACTTAGGAGAAGATGGACTATCCTTCCCCTGAAGAGCCACTGACTTGGTCCATTAGAACTTGCCACTTTTTTAATTACTTAGAAATTCATTTTCTCATTAAGAGAGTACTTTCAGATTCTTTCATACATTTCTTTCTCCCTTCTTTTATAATTTTTAAACAAACATTGGATGTAATATTTCACCCATTAATCTATTTGTATTATTAAAAAGATGTGATTTTCCCCCTCTTTTTTTAAACTGTTATTTTAACAAAAGTTTACAGAAAGGCTGGGTTTTCATTCATTCATTGTTGCACATTTTCCTCCCTCCCCCTCACGACCCTCACCCAACCACTTTGCCATGCGCCTCTTATTCTAGATTGCTGTCATACATATAATGCCTAATCATATAGCCCTTTCAGACAGTTTCCCCCTCATCTGTTCCAATGCAATGTTCATTATCTATCCACTCAGAACTCTCTACAGACTATGCCATCAAAGCTTTTATTGTATATGTGTTACATATTTTTTCTATGTTCTTGCTATTGTTAGGTGCTGCTGAATACAACTCAGAACGACCCTGTGAATAACAGATCAGAACCTTGTCCTATCCTGTTAGCATTATACATTGTGTTAAGCATTTTATCTCTTGAATCAATTTTGTATACGATGTATTGTTATTCTTATGTTAAAGAAGAAACCTGATACTCAGAGAAGTATGAAACCAAAATAGATAATGTAGCTGAACTGATGCCCAGTCAGGAGCATAATAACAAGGTATAATTTTAAAGTCTTAAGCACACTATGGAATTCCTAGTGTAAAATGCTATAGACTATCAATGAATCCCTCCGGAGCTGAAGAAACACCAACATGATATGCATATGAAGAGGAAAAAATTATTTGCACTTCAATTCATCTAACTGCTGAGTAATAAACTCAATGAGTCATTTCCAATCTTAATACCTCAGTGGGCAATTACTTTCAATAAAAGAAATGCTATAAAACTTCACACAAAATGGAAAAAGGTAAGCTATCTTTTTCTAAGCTATCTTTTTCACTCTTAATTTCTCCTAGTGAATTCAGAAGATTGTGCTCTGATGCAATGAAAGGGTCAGCTGTTGGCTTGGAGCCCCCATTACTATATACAGTAACAGTCAAGAGCAATTTTGCTCTGGGAAGTCACTGAGTGCCATAGTCTTTATCCTGCGTGATTTTTCTTACCATGGGTGCCGTGCTGCCTGCTCACATGTGTATCTTTTATTTGGATCCTTCTCCATCAGATTCCGAATGAAATCTTTAGCTGTTCAGAAAGAAAGCACAAGAGGAGGAATGAGCCTGGGCCTTGAGATGTGTCAATAGCATGTGTGGCATAGAAAATGAAGGACTAGCCCTCCACCCATCTTACATTACTTGGACACAAAGGTCAGGTGATATTAGGGGGGAAAAGGAAGCCAAGAATCAAGGCACTGAGTAAGTGAGGACTAGGATTTTGGTTCCCCAGCTCCTAAATGCCTTCTCAACAACATCGTCTGTTTATAAAAAAGAGAGAATTTTTTTTTATTTAATTTTTTTGTGATAATGTGTCAGGACCTCAGTCTATATCACTCTAGATGCTTCTTGCCCACAAGGCAGTGCCCTTCCTACTTCAGAAGTAAAATATTCATGCAGCACATTCCTGCAGCCTTAAGAATTTTCCAGTTAGCCCAGGTTTTGGAAGACTGAGGATGTTTAGTTAGGAAGAAAAAAAAATGTTAGAACCTATAAGTTAAGTGCAAAATGCTCCTCAGAGTGTTCAGAGCATGGTTCCATAGAGGATCTCATCTGAGCCTTGAGTGAACACCCATGGTAGAAAGGAGTGTTTTGCCATCTTCATGATACCAACAAAGAAACTGAGGCTCAGAGAGGCTTAGTCAAGATACATGAGCCTCAAGTCTAGATTGTTATATCTGAGGGAGCAATGACAAGCTCCCTGGGGACACTTCCGCATGGCACAGTCATTAAGATGTGGGCTCTAGCGTAAGGACTTAAGTTCAAATTCCAGCTTTGCCACTTAGAGCTGCACGATTTTGTTCAAGCCACTTGACCTTCCTGTGCCTCAGTTTCCTCATCTGTTAAATGGGAAAACAGGAAGACAAATCAACATTTGTCTTGAGGACTAAATGAGTTAATACATGTAAAGAGCTAATAGTGCTTATCAGCCAGTAAGTGGACAATGCATAGAAGCAAATTGTTTCACTCCAGGAGCATTGGGACCAGGGATAGGAGTGGTGGATGGGCGGGGGCCTCATCCCACAACCTGCCTTGTATGAGGTGGCTTCAGGCTCTTCTCAGCTTTGAAAGTCAAGGCCTAATATGAAGCTCATGCTCCCTGGGAGCCTTTGGGCCCTCTGAACCCTAGGTCATAGGCCCCACTGGGTCAGACAGTCTGGGGGACTGTCCAGGGGCCATCAACTGCAAGCCGACAGAGACCTACCAGAGTCAGAGATGTCATCCCAGTAGGGGGAGTCAAACTCGTATTCTGCCTTGAGGATCTGCTCAAAGAGTTTGGAGTCATTTTCATCATAAAAAGGAGGGTAGCCACAGAGTCTGGAAGACAAGATGGTTAATGGACATAAAACTTTTTTATATTAAGAGTAGTAGCTTTCAATTTTTCCTGGGAGAGACACTTATCAATCAAGTTACAGAAACCCGTACTATATGTGCTACAAATATACTCCCAGTAAGGAAGTAAAATTCAGAATTAATAAACTGAAGAAATGGTAATTCTCTGAATATTATTTGACACAAAGTCCAAAACGCGCCCCCCAAGAAACCCCTAACAGTTTTCTTTGTATAAATGCTAGTGTTCTTCTTCTCTGTGAGTGTAACACTGTATATGGTCAGCTAGTGATAAACAAGCTAACAAAATATATGATTAGTAAACATTCCAGCACCTTTAAGGTTCATTTTATTTTTTAAAAACCAAACATCATAAGAAGAAAAGTAAACTTTATAACCATATTAATAGCCAAATCTGTACATCATCACTCTGATGCACCCAAGTAGGGTATTTGAAAGTTTCTTTGGAAAAAGACATCATGCTTGGAAACAGAGGGTCAAGGAAGGAGAGGAAGACCCCTAGGGAGGTGGAGAGACACAGGGAGTACAGCCACGGGCCTGAGCACGGTGGAGATTGTGAGGACACTGCAGATCCAGGCAAGGTTTCCACCTGTGGTTCACAGGGTCACCAGGAGTCAGAATCACTGTGATGGCATCTAACAACCGAGGAGCAAGTCTTGCCTAGTAAGAAGTCTTGGGGTGCAATTATTAAGTGCTCAGGTACTAACTGAAAAGCCAGCAATTTGAACTTGACCGGTGACTTGAAGGGGGCGAAGACCTGACCATCAGCTCCTGTGAAGATCCCAGCCTAGGAGACAGTGCCACTCTATCCTCTAGTGTCACCCTGACTCGACAGCAAATATCACCTCTTTTCTATTACTATCAATTATCTATTACTATCGTTATCAGCAGAGATTGGCACAAATTACCTCACTGTCATAATACTGTCAACTGTTTCAGTTATTTAACTACTTAAAAGATGATTTTTAGAAGATCCCATTAGGACACTGGTTCAAAGCCACTTGTATTACTGGAGGTACTGCTATTCATCTGGCAAACTCAGTATGAGCAGATTATTTCAATTTGGGCAGGATATTAAATGATCCTGCAAGTATTAAAAGAAGATGGAAAGAGTATACAGAGTTATACCAAAAGGAATTGGCAGACACAAAAGAATTTAATAAAACAACATATGAGCAAGAACCTGTGGTGATGAACGAATAAGTTCAAACTGCTTTGAAAGAACTGGCTAAGAATAAGGCCCCAGGAATTGATGGTATACCAATTGACATATTTCAACTAACAGATGCTGCCCTAGATGTGCTCACCAAGTTGTGCCAGGAAATATGGAGAACAACCACTTGGCCAACTGACTGGAAGAGATCTATATTTGTTCCCATTCCAAAGAAAGGTGATCTCACAGAGTGTGGAAACTATAGAACAATATCATTAATATCACATGCAAGCAAGATTCTGCTGAAGATTATCCAAAAACGACTGGAACAGCACATCAACAGAGAACTACCAGGAGTGTAGGCTGGGTTTAGATGGGGTTGTGGTACTAGGGATGTTGGAGTTAATGTTAGATGGATCTTGGCTGAGAGTGGGGAGTACCAGAGGAATGTATCTGTGTTTCATTTACTATGTAAAGGCATTTGATTGTGTGGATCACAACAAACTGTGTCTGACTCTGAGAAGAATGGGAATCCCAGAACACTTGATTGTGCTAACGCGAAACATATACTTGGACCAAGAGGCAGTCATCAGAACAGAGCAAGGAAACACTGCATAGTTCAAAATTGGGAACGGTGTATCCCAGGGATGTGTCCTATCTCCATACCTTTTCAATCTTTATGCAGAACAGGTTATCTGGGAGGGGTGGCTGTATGAGGAGGAATGTGGCATTAGGATTGGAGGAAGACTCATCAACAATCTGTGTTATACAGATGACACAACCCTGCTTAATGAAACTGAGGAGGACCTGAAGTGCTTGCTGTGGAAGGTCAGGAACTGCAGACTTCAATATGGATTGAGGCTCAATATCAAGAAAACAAAGATGCTGTCGATTGGCAGCATCAGGACAGATGGTGAAGAGATTGAGATTGTTCACAGCTTTAGTGTGCTTGGCTCCACAGTCAACACTTTTGGCACCTGCAGCCAGGAAATTAAGACATATTGTGATGGGAAAGTCTGATGTTAGAGACCTCCTTGGAGAGGGATCTCATGCTTGGGAGGGTAGAGGGACAGCGCAAGAGAGGAAGACCATAGACAAGATGGATTGATTCAGTGACTGGGGTAATGGTGGTAGGTGTTTCAGAGACAGTGAAATTGGCACAGGATAGGGCAGGGGTTTTGAGTCACAGGCACATAACAACTACAACAGCAACAACAACAACAACAACAACAACCCTAAATGTGATTTATTCCATGAATCATGGGTCCTTACATCACTTCTACTCTCATTTCGTTGTTGTTGGGTGTTATTGAGTCAATTCCCATTCACAGTGACCCCATGTGAGAGAGTAAAACTGACCGGTGAGGCCTTTTAGGTTGTAATCTGTATTCACCAGATCACTAGGTCTTTTCCCATGGAGCCACTGACTGGGTTTGAACTGCCAACCTTTTGGCTAGCTGCTGAGCCCTTAACCACTGTCCACCAGGGCTCTTTAGTGTGACTTTACAGCTGACCATGAATCCATTTTTGTGAGAGGAAAAATTTACTCCTCTAAAAATAAGAAGTCTAGACTTCAAATTTTTTAATATTCTTTCTGGCTTGGAGATGCTGTAGTCCTGTACTCCCTCTCCCAGATGTTTTGACTGAATATTGACTTAGGAAAAGACCTGTGTTTGCTGAAGGTATGTGGGGGCGGGCTCTAGCTGGGACTGGAGAGCCAGGAAGGGTGGGAGTCTCAGAGCAGAAGGCAGTAGGGGCAGGGGCAAAGCTGGATGGTGCAGATCTCAGTCCTGGGGCCTCAACAATCCAGGGGGTGGCAGCCACAGTTGACATTCTGTTCCCCGATGTATCCTAAATCTTCCTACAAAGCCAAGTTTTGTTCACAACACAGCTTCAGCCTAGGGACCAGTTTAATGAGAACAAATGAACAAGAATCAGCAGACTTCAGACCTGTGAGGGATGGGGCTGTTGGCAAACACAAAATTTAATAAAGGTTAAAAAAAACCAGCCTCATCTCAGTCATCAGTCAGGCCACTCCTGCCCTGTGCTGCAGTATCACTGGGCCACTGCTGCGTTGGGGAATGGCTGATGACATTTTTAAAAGCTGTGAGACATTCTGTGGGCTGATAAGATTCAAACTCATTTATCCCCTCCCCAGCTTGATTTAGGGGTTAAGAGACTGGAAAATTTCACTTTTCGAGATTTGCTGCTTTTGGCTAAATGAGGTAGATCAGTGCTTCTGAAACCACCAAGCACATTATTTCACCCTTCAAGGAAACCCTGAAGCTGGAGCTGTAAACGGATTTGGCTAAAGGAAATATGTATATTAGGAAAGAGACACTGGACTGCTAACTGAAAAAGTCTGTGTGTGGAACGTGCTCCCCAGGAGAAAGCCGTGGCAACCCGTTCCCAGGAAGATTCTTCTTGTTATGTGCCCTTGAGTGGGAAACAACTCTTAGCCGGCCCTCTGGTGGGTTTTCAGTGGCTGTAAATCTCATGGGAGGAGACTGTCCATCTTTCTCTCTTGGAACAGGATTTGAACCACATTTGGATTAGCAACACACACCTTATCCAGTAGGCTACCAGAATACCCCCCACACCCCTCCGTAAAGATTACTGTCTCTGAAACCCTCTGGGGCAGTTCTACTCTGTTCAGCAGGATTTCTGTGAGTCGGAATTGACTAAACAACAATGGCTGATTTATTGGCTCATTTCTTTATTTCTATTAGGAAAGGCAGATGAGGGAAATATTATTACATCTTGGAAAACACTAGAGCGTGAAAAATTTTGAGGAAAATTTACTCTTCTGGTAATCTTAATGTTATTATTATGTGCCGCTGAATCACCTGCAACTCCCATCAATCCTATACTCTGAAGCTTCCTCTAACATACTTTGGGCATGTTGCAAGGAGGGCCCAGTCCTTGGAGAGCATATTTGGGAGGGTGGAGGGACAGCACAGGAGAGGAAGACCTTTGCTGAGATAGATTGATTCAGTGATTGGTGTAGTGGGAGTAGGTGTATCTGGAGACAAGGAGGTTGGCACAGGATAGAGCAGGGTTTAGGGCTCTTGTACACAGGGTTGCTATGAGACACAAGGGATTTGACCAACAGCATACTAAGTAAGTCCTTATCTTAAAAAGAAACAAACAAATGTCTTGGACAAAGTACAATCAGCTTGCTCCATGGAGGAAAGGATGGTGAAACTTCATCTTACATACTTTTGGCGCATACTGTTAGGACACTCCAGTCTTGGAAAGGTGAAGGATCAGTGTAAGAGAGGAAGATCCTCAACAAGATAAGAGTGACACAGTGACCATAACAAAGGGCTCAAGTGTATCAGAGATGATAAGGATGATATGGATAGTACCCGTTCAGATCCATTGTTCATAATAAGGTCCTGGTTAGTTGACCTTGGAGCCCATAACAACATAACAAGCCCAGATATATTGGATGTGAAAAGAGAGAAAGCAAGAGTGAGGGAGGAAGAGAGAACAAGAGAGAGCTGTTTCTTTCCCACTGAATGGATTTTTAGCCCTTTGTCAAAGATGGATGGATTTACCATTGGATTTTCAGTTCAATTCCACTAATCTCTATGTCTGTGACTGAATCAGTGCCAGGTTATTTTGATTACTGTGGCTGTACAGTAAGTTCTGACATCAGAAAGTGTGAGTTCCCTCCAAAAGTTGACTAGAGAAATTCTGTATGAACCAGCTATTTCACTACTTGGAATATAGTTTGAGAAAATAAAAGTAGTATTTTACCTTCAAAAAAAAAAAAAAGAAAGTGTGAAAGTGTGAGTTCTCCTCTATTATT